CAACCTTTCTAATTTTATTTCATGTCTTTTTCTTAGTATGCTTCAGTTATGTTGGTCTGCTTTCAGTTTTTTTCCCTGTATACCAATCTCTTCCCTGCCTTAGAGCTTTCATATGTACTATTCTTGTTTTAAAAGTTCTCTGACATCTCCTTTCCCCATGGGAGCTTCCTATAATTTTTTTTTGTTATTTTCTCCACTATTCTTAAGTCCAAAGAGGGCAGGACTATGACTATATCTTTTTCATTTACTTATGTATAGCCAGTACCTACATAATGCCTTACATATAGCAGCACTCAATATTTATTGAATACATAAACAAGTAGGAGTTACTGTTTTGGTTCATTTTTTAAAAAAATTAGGGTTCAGGCTCTGTGTTAACTGCTATGAGAATACACAAAGGGTTTATAATACATAATTTTTACCTTGAAATAGCTCCTAACTTAAAAGGAGTGTAGTGGGTTGACTTATGTCCCCCCAAAACTCATTGAAGCTTGAATTGTGTCCCCCAAGTTTCATGTATTGGAAACTTAGTCCACACTGTGACTGTTAAGAGGTTGGGAAATCCTATTATGGTGATTGAAAGGTGGGGCCTTGAAGAGGTGATTGGGTTGTAGGACCATGTAGTAGTGAATGGATTAAAAACGGTGGTCAGGGGCTTGGTTCTGAGGGCTTTAAAAGGAGAGGAGAGTCTGTCTTTCTCTCTACTCTCTCCGCTCTGCTGTTTTCACAATGTGATACCCTGCCATCGCTGTCCTCACCACCAAGACCTTCCCCAGCTGTGTTCCCTGAACTTTGGACATCCTAGCCTCAGAAAGTTTAAGCAATAAATAAATTTTGTTTTCTTTATAAATCACCCAGCTTTAAGTATTTTGTTATAAGCAACAGAAATGGACTAATACAAGGAGGGATAGAAGATACTATAATATGTAGCATGGGAGAAGGCAGTATAGTTGGAGTTAAGTTCTCCCACTAGCCAGCTGTGTGACATTAGGTAAATTGTTCCACTTCTCAGTTCCTTTATTTATCCATCTGTAATACTAAGGGGTTTGACTAGACTCTCTTAAGGCTTTGCTTCTTAAATCTGGTGTGTTATTAATGGTATAATGGTTAAATTATTTTTTCCTTCAGTTTCTATCCCTGGAGAATCTTATTCAGTAGTTCTGAGGTGAGGTCCAGAAATTCCCTAGATTACTGAATCATGGCTGGGTTTAGTAAGTACTGGTCTAGGTCTTTCTAGCTTTGACATCTTATAATTCTAATTGTAGGACAAGGCAGTCTGTGAAAGTGCAGTAGGAGTCAGGCAAATGAAGGTGTTGTATTCATTCCGAGGCAGAGAAAACATTTTCTTGCTTAGGTGATGAGGGCAGGGCTTAATGAAAAAGGTGGTGCTGAAGTGGACTTTGAAGAATGGGTGGAGATATGGGCAGGTGCATGATTGCATGATTAGTATTTAGTCCAACTTAGTTGGAGACCTGAATATATGAAAGGGAGGAGGAGGAAAATAATGACTTTTTTTTTTTTTTTGGTCTTTTGTCTTTTTCCGTGTCCGGCAACGGATCGCAACCCTCAGTGTTGACCCCATACTGGACCGGGGACCGGCAACGGGATCGCAACCCTCGGTGTTGCTCCTGTGCCTCGCTCAGCCAGTGAGCGGGAACCGGTCTGTATGTGGGATCCGAACCCTCGGGCGGGAGCGCCGCCGCGCTTCCCAAGCAGCGCACTATCCAGTGCGCCACCGGGCCGACCCATAATGACTTTTTTTGATGCAATGGACCACAGTTCTAGTCTTGTTTAATCCGTTTTACCTGTCATACTTGGTTGTCCTTTTAGAGGTAAGATATTCTGTTATTGCAGCTTAATTCTTATTTGGTGAAAGTAAAACATATGGTGACAGGCACCATGGGTCTGCTTTGGGAAATAATTGGACACATTCTTCCTCAAACCTATTAAGGCTGTGCCCTTTGAGATCCACTTTAACCACCCCATTGGTTTTCTGGTTAGACACAAAGAATATCAGGACCCACTATGTTATCTAAAATAATAGTTTTGCTGTAAGAATGATTATTATTAAACCAAAGTTGGCTTTTTTGTTTAGATGAAACCGTATAAAGGCAACATTCTGAGTAAATTATATAGCATCCACTTGATGAAATAATAAGCCCAAGTTTAGGGGATGAAACTAATGATCTAATGCAATATTTAGAATGGATATACAGTATGTAGTTATTACCCTAAAAGTCACATCCTGCATTCTTTTAATTTGTGGAAAATTTGTCATTAATTGCCCAGGAAACCTCTGATTTTTCATACATAATCACGTCATAGCTATTGACTTTCTCCCCCTTCTCCCGCCTTAAAATACATCCTTGTAAATAGATTACTTTCAGATTTGTAATGTTCACTTTAAACATTGAGTTGCTAAGTTTAGCCCTGTTGCTCTCTCTTTTTAAATAGAATTCTCTTTTTCCCCAACTTTGCCTTTGAGTCGTTACTGACAAATCACACTTGTTTTTTTTAAATGGTAACTCACTTAAAACCTTATTTAACCCTTCTGCCCAGTGAGAGCCTGCTAATTCTCAAATGCCTTTTGTTTTCATTAATTTCCACTGTAGGGAGGAAATGGATATGGTATTCTATTTAGAAACAGTTTGAGAGATGAATTCTGATTCTTTATTCAAACTCACTCTATATGGGGCAGGGTCAGACACACAGAAGTCAAAAATTGAAAAAAAAGAATAAGGTAGTGGGTAAAAAATGAAGCAGCCAGGTTGATATCCATCCTAGAATCCAGCTGTTGCCTGTCCTTGGCTACTGTCTCAGATCAATTTAGGATTTATTTACAGGTTAATCTGTGATCAGCCAGCCAGCCCCTACCTCAGTCCTTGCTGATGTTGGTCTGTTGACCATCAATCATCAAGCCTCTTGTGATTAATATTTTGTGAAGAATTGCATTATTAATTTGAGTTATTGACCTCCAGTAGCATGAGAGTCCCTTAGTTACTTTCACGAGGATTTATTTGAAAGGAAAAAATAAAACAAAAAGAATCACAACACAGCTATATCAAAGAAGGGCCCCTCTTATAGAAAAGACCTTAGACTTGAGAAAATTTCCCCAATTCCAGGAAAAGTCATCAGGGGAAAATGACTACTATTGTATCCCTTGTGTCTTTTTATTTAAGAGGAATAATAGAGTCAGAAATATAGATCTTGGAAGCAAACTTAAGAACATTGACTCTCTTGCAAATTGTGTTGTGCTTGTGTGGCCTGGGGTGGTGTTGCAGACCTGTCTTTGCCTCATCCAGAGCACTTGGGATACTATCTGCTTATATGTTAGGATTTCATATATTACTTGATACAAGAGTTCTGATTTTTTAAAAATGTTTGAAGACCATTGGCTTAGCTCACATCCAAGACTTTGTAGAGAATATATCTGAAGGTCAAAGAAGTTAAATTTTATATCTACAGTCATGAAACTATTTAGAGGTTTATAGAAATTAGAAGCCATCTAGGTTTCAACTGTGCATGCCTGGACTTCCCATCCAGAGCATTTTTACTACAAAATGTTGATTTGATTTTCTATTTCGAAAGACACAGAAGTGATCTGTGAAATGGTGATTAGCAATAGGCAGCCCCAGGCAGCCCTGGAATGCTCCATGGTTCAAATGCCAAAGACCATATGGAGGTCCAGAAGTGGATGACTCAAAGTTTATTAGTTTGCCACCTGGGTAGTACAGCCAAACCAGCTGCCACAAGGCAGTTCCAATTTTGATAGAGCAGTAAATGAACATAAAAGTGAGTACAAATCCCAAGAATAAAGTAAAGGAGAACGGCTGCTGTAGCAAAGAGGATTCATCCAGGCTGAGTCCTATTGACATCCCTTGTAGGATACATGGCTGCCTTGCCAGGTAGAGGACGGTAAAAGGTTGTGGCATCAAGTGCTGAAAAATCACCCCTTGACTTGTTTCAGGAGCCAATCTCAATTTGGGGTTCATTTGAATTGCTGGCTTGGTAGGTTCCCAGTCACATCTGATGGTCTGGAAAGGGAAAGGCAAGCCCATGCTATGTCATGAGTCCCGAAAAATTTTTTTTTCTGGAAATTATGGAAAGTCATTTGGTCACCTCCTTTCTGTAGTTCCGGGCCCTGGCGGCATAAGTATTCATTAGAACATAAGATCCTTGTGGCAGATCGCCAGGAATCAAATCATTATTCTCATGTTATCCTCATATGGAGATGAACTATGGTAGGTTTTTCAGCATCTGTCCATGAAATACTTCAAGAGTCAGAAGTTGACCCTCCAGTTTTAGATGATGCCTTTAATAGATCTGTGAGTTTCAAAAACTGAAATGAGTGTAATAATGAGGGTATGGAGCTAGGACCAACTTGGGAGAGGTGCAGTAATTTTTGTTTAAATGAGGATGATTCACTTAATGAATACAAAAGTCAATCTTGATCCTCTGTCAGAATGCTTTGGGCAGCAAGGAACAGAAATCCTGACTAAATTGACTTAAACAAAATAGAGGTTTATTATTGTTACTTTTTTATGTATTGAGAAGTTTAGAGGAATGTGGCTTCTGATTTCGGTTCACCTGCTCAGGCTTTTTTTGTGTCATCTTGATGGGAAGTAGAAGGATACAGGTGGGGAGGAGAAAGGAATGTACTAGTTGCTGATGTATTATGGCTTTGCTATGGCTTTGATGCTCAAGTCTGGACCAAGGTTTAATCTGTTGGATAAACTTCTCCTTGAAGATGATATTTTCAGGAGCAGAATGTTTATGTATGTTTATGTATATATTTCTCAACTGACCATTACTAGTCTCATGCAGTGATGGAATACTGCTCTTCATTTGTATGATGAGAGTACAGATGCCTGTATATTTTCTAAACTGTTTGGGCAGTGTTTTTCTTCTGCAATGACATGAAGTAAAATCACTTTTGTATTATAACATCTGTTTATGAGTAAAGATAAAATAGCTGCTTTTTTTTCTTCTTTTTCTGGTAGGTGGCGTGTTTGACCCAGGTTGCTGTTAATTATCTAAATGCCCAAATGGAAGCAAAACGTTGGGGCACAGCTCATGGCAGTATCGTTCCTTACCAGGTAAGAATACAACAATCTAGGGTTTGGCTACTATAACCTGCAGTTATGTATGGCATGAGTTTGGGAAATAATTTTTTTAAAGAAAAAAACCCTCCAGAGTATTCTGTAATGTGTCAATGTCTGGTTATGACAAGGTTCTGTTATTCACTTTAAATTCTGTGTCTTGCGTACTTCTTCATCAGAAGAAGATTAGTAACAGGACACTTAAATGGATCAAAGGAACTCGCTGAAAGTTTTGGGCTCACATGATGGTTTGCCTTTTTTTCAACTGGAAGAGGCACTGACTATAGCCGTTTTATAAAACATGATTTGTTAAACATATCTGTTGTAAAACAAATGTTACCTACCCTATCTGACAATAATATTTTCATGTGGTTGGAGGAAAATAAAATCCACTAAAATAAAATGATGTACCTTCATTTTTGGAGCAAAGCAGATTGTTCAGGAGCTGCTGTTCTTTATTGAGTTTCTGAATTTGTCCTGAGAAATTCTTGACCCTGGCTAGTGTAAATGAATATGTGAAGAAACTGAGATCTTTCAAAAATAAAAACAAAAACTCTACCACTTCTTCCAAACTCCTAATCTTTGCTTAGCCCAGTTACATCGTACCTCATTGTATTCATTAATGTATTTGTCATGTCTTCTGTACTTTGTTGTAAGCTTAAGAGTAGAGGTGTCTTTTTCATCATTGAATCTCTTCTCACAAGTGATAGATGTACATACTAGGTCCCACATAAATATCTGTTGGATGAAGGAGTGAATTTTGGTGTAGTCATCCCAACGCTAGTGCTCCTGACAGAAAAAATAAAAATCAGCATTTTTCATTAGACAGCGAATCCATCAATGCTGCAAATCATCCTTTTAGTTTAAAGAAATTATTTCCTTGGGAAAAACTAGTTCCTTTTCCATTTTTTTAAACCGCAATTTTAGGAAAACAGTGACCCAGTGTGAACCTAGGACCCTTCTCTCTCTGTTTCCGTTTGTGGTCCCTTTATACCTGAGGCGTTACAGTGATTTCAGTGTAGAACTGCTGCTCTTCAGCACATTGAGTTAATGTTTTGGTGACGTTGCAGTTGTGGACATGTTTTCTTTAGTGTCTTTCATCTTTTCCCCACCAGTACTCTTTTGGCCACTGTTAGTGACCTTATGCTTCCCTGCTACCAAGACCTTTGTGGCTGACCCTCGACTTCTGGTCAGACCTACCTCCTTTCACAAAAGTCATTGTATTTTTGAACCAGTTAGAGATCATTGGATTCAGCATTCTTACTTTTCAGATAATAAATTTGATACCTAAATTTGGTAGAGGGACTCTAACTCTAGTCTCCTGTCTCCTGTTGAATATTCTTTCAGACTTTGCTGCCTTTGACAGGAAAATGCTGTGATTTCAGTTCCCTTCTTCAGCTCTACCACCACACCCTCTCCATCAGACTTACTCTTGGCTCGGGAGTCTCATCGCTAATTTATACTCATCATTATAATGGAAATCCCTCTCAATGGTATTTTATCAGAGGACGATGTTGGAATCTGTGTGAATTCATCTGAAATAATAAAAGTCCCACCTTCTGTCTTTGATGTATATGGAGAAATCATTTCTGGGTTGGAGGGCTTGAGTGTAATTACAAATCACGACACCTAGTTCACTATGTTCAAGCATAAAGTTTATAGTTTACTTTTTTTCTTATTTTTAAAATTGAATGTCATTTTTAAAAGGTTTATGTAGACCTTAGTTATCCCGTTTGGGCATCTGAACCTAGAGTTCTGGCATCCTCGGTATGCTCTCTGTTATTTCACTGGGAGGCAAATGTTTGGCTTTTATTTTGGAAGATAAGAGATATGGAAGTCTCTCTCTCTCTCTCTGTCTCTCTCTCTCTCTCTCTGTGTGTGTGTGTGTGTGTCTATTCTTCAAAGATAGAGATGTGACTGGTTGAACTGACCCAGTCACATAAAGTGGGTACTGTACTTATTTGATCTTGGTTGATTGGTCTCTCTCTCTCTCTCTCTCTCTCTGTGTGTGTGTGTGTGTGTCTATTCTTCAAAGATAGAGATGTTACTGGTTGAACTGACCCAGTCACATAAAGTGGGTACTGTACTTATTTGATCTTGGTTGATTGCAGCTTTATTATCTGTAAGAAGTAAGAGATCTAGTAGGGGCCCAGAATTAATTTGCTTTCTCTTGGAAGAGAACTGGTTCAGCACTGTGATTAAGGAATAAATGCAAATTTAGCCTGACTGAAACTCACATACCAAGATGGGTCCTAGATATGCTTAGAGACTCTGGTCTGTTTTCAATTTTAAAAATGGATTTGGGGAGTATTTTTATGGGTGAATGCCAGGATAATTATAATTCAGTTTTCTATAATAATTGCAGCTTTGCATCTAATTTGAGTTGTCTGAGTTTCGAGCTTAGTGTCTATCATGGAAGACCCTCATGGTCTCAGGAGTTAGTTACGATGACCACTTCACTCTCCTCAATTCTTGTTGAACCCTATCTGGAAGGTTATAGACTTTGAATGCATGGAACATAAAAGGCTGAAAAGTAGTTGTTCTTTAAATTTGTGTGTTATTTTATGAACCTGCAGTTCTTAACTTCTCAGATTGATTATTTATTTGTGTTCTTTTTCTCCCTATTCTTTTGCTGCCAACTTTTTAAGAATGAGTAAGTTGGACAACTGAGATAATCACTGTTCTACTTATTGAACATATTGGTGGATGCTTTTCCTAGAATTCAGATTTTTAAAAAGAATTTTTGAATTTCAGTGCTTTTTGTTTCCCATTAACATTGGGCCTTAGAATGTCCTTTCCGTTTGCTTGTTGTAACACCTTCAAGGACATTCTTGGGTGGGAGGGGGGCGAGAGAGGGAGGAGGGAGGGAGGTTTCGGTGATGGGTCATAATAATCAACCACATTGTATATTGACAAAAAAAAAAAACAAACAAAAAAAACATTGGGCCTTGCCCCAGAGAAACATCTAGCCTAAAGGATTAATAATTACATAATGTTCATGTTAATATTTTTAATGCATTCATGTTTTCCAGCCCTTTAAACAGTTATAAAGATAGGTGCGTTTTAGAGACGGGAGAAGATTGAGCAGAGAAAGCAGATAGCCGATCCTCTAAAAGATGACTGCTTCACAGCTTCTCCCCCTCAGATCTTCTCCATCTCTACTCACCCTTAGCTAAAGACTTTGCCTCTTATTTCACTAAAAATTGATGCAATGGAAGAGAACTACTTCATCTTTTCCCTGCTGCACCTCACAAACCCCTGCGTGTGCACCCACACTGTATTCCCTCCTGTCACATGGATGCATCGTCTCTTTCCTCATTTTGCTTACATAAGGGCATTACTCCTGCACTTTGTCTCCTCTGTCACCTGCACTGTCCCTTAGTGGATAAGCACATGATCACATATTTTGCCTTAAAAACGTGCCCACCTTCCTTGGACCCCCAGGCCATCCCAGTTCTCTATGCTCTTATATTACAAAAGTCTGCCAAAGAGTTTTGGGTGGTATGTGCTAGAGGGAAGCACTGCACTAACTACTCTACAATGCTATTTGTGCCTCACTGGCAAAGAGCTTTTTTCAGCACCATGAGACCCCAGGAGTTTGGGTGGTTTGGAATAGCTAGGGGAAGTTGACTGTCTGAGCAATAGGAATACTCATCTTAGGCTCTTTCTTGAGCCTTTAAAATGGCCTGATATTTCACACGGTGATTTCTTCTAAACTGTTCTTCTGAAGGAGCTTCCAATTCAAGAGGTCCAAGAAAACAATTACTTAGATGATAAAATAAAATAATGTCTTCCTTGCTTCAGTTTGGGCTTATTCAATGAAGAAGTACAGCAGGAAGCTGTGCTATGTTATTTCTGGTAGGGATATTATACTGTATATTTAATTTGGCACAAGCAGAGACTAAGACAGGCAGTAAATTCCAAGTTTGAAGAGATGCAGCACTTTGCTATCATGCCTTAAAGGATGTCAAAGTGCTGTCAAATCATGGGAGATTAGGTAACAATGGGAAACTTTTTATTTTTTTTATCCCAAGTTAAGGATTTTTTAAAAAGTCAAGATGTAAACGATATAACCTGTCCCTTGTGTGACCTTTTTTTGTTTTAACCATAGTCACAATAAGTCACTCATTAATGTTCAAAGGTACAATTTAAACAAGCATATGATTGTATCACATATTTAATTTAATTGATGCATTGGTAATAACAGTAATAATAGTCATGCTGGCTACCACTGGACACATGCTATGTAACTGGGCTACAGTTTTTCTTTTCTCATTTTATATTGATGAAAGGGAGACTTAGAGGCATTAACCAGCTTCTTTCTATGTCCTAGTCTGGATCAGAACTATGGTTTTAAGATTTCAAAACTTGTTTCCTTTCCCACTATATCCCAAACTAGTAGTTCTTTTCATGTGCCTCATATGTCTTGGATACATGTCTTTTCGTTTCTTTGACAGATAGTAGAATTCTTCTTTTTTCCTCATCTCTTTAACATATGATCTATTTATTACATTCTAGAGGTTACCAAACCTAATAATTGGTCCTGCTATCGAAGTATATTTGAGTTCAGAGGTAGGGGGCAAGTGTAGGTTTCCCTCTACCATAGTCTCAACTCACTGCTTTCAAATGACGTTTTTTTTTGGTGGCTGGCCAGTACAGGGATCGGAGCCCTTGACTTTGGTGTTTCCAACACTGCTCTCTAAGCTAACTGGCCAGCTTAGTTGATAAATCAATTAAAAAATTTCATTAAAAATTTTTTTTTTCCTTTTTGTCTTTTTTCGTGACCGGCATCGGATCACAACCCTCAGTGTTGCGCCCGTACCGGACCGGGACCGGCAATGGGATCGCAACCCTCGGTGTTGCTCCCGCGCCTCGCTCAGCCAGTGAGCGGGAACTGGTCTGTATGTGGGATCCGAACCCTCGGCGGGAGCGCCGCCACGCTTCCCAAGTGGCACACTGTAGCAGTGCGCCACTGGGCCGGCCCAAAATTTTTAATT